TCCCAGGAGAAGGTAACTTGGGGCAATGTTGATGGGGAAGGGAAGCAAGCAGACCTAGCAGTGAACCCTGGAGGAAGCAGTGCAGACCCCACTGTGTGTGTTTGTGTGTGTGTGTGTGTGTGTGTGTGTGTGTCTGTGTGTGTGTTCCTAGACCTCAACATCAGGACAATGACATGGCTGTGCCTCTGGAAATCTGAAGGAGTGTGTATGGGTATGGACGATGTGGGTAAAGATCAGATCAGAGATCTGTCTGTCTTACTTGAGCACAGCAAGTCAGAGGACTTGGGTTCACATCTTCAGACATGAGATTGTGAATGAATCTTGTGAGGTCTCTGTTACAGCTTGGATGAAGACTGTACCTTGAAGGCCTCGTGTGTCTGTGGGCATGCACACAGTGACTGAATTATGGGGGCAGTGCAGCTGACTTGCTATTAGAATGTAGGGCCTGGTCAGAAGAGTTAGGTCCTCATGGATACCATCTGAAAGGGTCTGTCTCCCTGTCTGGCTCCCCCTTTCTCTCTCTCTGCCCCCTGACTGCCATAATGTGAGCAGCTTTCCTCTGCCCAGGCCCTTCCACCATGCCACTGCTTCCTGGAGACCACAAACCCCACCAGGACTGAGATTTCTGAAACTGTGATCCATTGAGACTCTCCATCTTTAAGTTGTGGTATCAGGTATTGTGTCTTTGTGATGAGGGAAGGGACTAAAATAACCTCTAAGATGCTGTTCCACTACCTAATAAATAGGAACAATAACAAGCTCCCTACTGTGCTCTACCAAGGGAGCGAAGGATCGTATATCTCCTTCTTAAGTGTGGAGACCCTGTGTGTGTTTCTGTGATCCCCAGATGATCACTGGGCTGTGTAGACCTGTGCTAGATCTTGAGTCACAGAAAGTCTAAATTCACAAAAGGGAGGAAGCTGGGGCCTTTCTTCTCATGACTGTCTCAGGCCTGTGGGCGGGAGGTTCCACTTCCCCCAAGTTCTTGCTGCACCTCTTAGTTCTCTCTCAGAGGAATTCACACACTGCTGTTAAGAACTGAGCAACTTTCCTTGACCATGCCCTTCCGCCATGATATTTTTGCTTTGGAGTCAACTGACCATGGACTGAATTCCCTAAAACCATGATCCAGTTAAAACTTTCCTCCTTTGAGTTGCGGGTGTTAAATATTGTGTCACAGCTGCTAGAAAGCTGACTAATACACTCCCTATGCAGGAAATTTAATATGGAGGATGGCTGCAAAATGGGGACACAACTATTCTCGTTGGGGTGAGGAGTTCTTTTCCGAGGCACCGAAGGCTTGACAGGAATGGGGCAAAGCTTTCTTGAGGCCCTGATAACCACTCTTTCAGCTTTTTCCTAAGAGCTTCAGGCCTTGCCTCTCCAGAATCTTACAGCTGGCTTTTATCACATTCTTCTTGTTTAATTTGCTAAATCTCTGTTTTGGCTCACTGTTTCACACCCACACTGATAGTCTGCCATCCCCCCAAGGCCCTGGGACATCTGCCAGCCAGTGAAATCAAACGTGAAGTTAAATACAACTCAGCTCCACATCATATTCCCATTCTCCCTCTTCTCTCCATCCCTCCTTCCATCTGAGGAATACAGAATGCCCAGGCGGTGGTGGTGGGGCTGCACTGACTTGAACCTTCCCCCCAAACATTCATCTAGATGTTTTACTCGAAGTGGGGTGTATAGATCTTACTTTGGGCAGAATCAACATTTTGCTGATCTTGTTTATCTAGTTTCATGTATATATTTTTTCTGAAGTATTTAAAGGTAAACCCCAGATAGCATGCCATTTCACTCTGGTTATTTTAGTTTGGATCATTGATGAATAATAAAACAGTCAAAATAATTCACCATCCTGTATATCACACCTAATACAATTAACCATAATTCCTTATCATTATCTAAAATTGAATCTGCATTCAGCTTTCCTCACGGTCTCCATGTTGTCTTTTAAGGACCTGTATCAGTGAGCTTGGAGAGGTTTGCTGAGGAAATGAGGAGTGCACAGAATTCAAACAAGTTGAACCTCTGGACCATTCTCAGGCTTTGTGCAGAATTTGCTAAATAACGTTCTTATACAAGAGCCTCCATGCTTCAGGCTAGAGGCCGGGCTGTGCCCGCACGGTCACCATCCTTTATCATGGGGGTATCTAACTTTCTCTAGTGCCTTCCTCTTTTGTTCCCTTCACTCCCTCTTTTATGAACATCTTAGCTGCCTCTTCCCGTCCTTGTTCTTTCCATGTCCAGGGCACCTCTCCGAAGTGAGTTCCTCCTTCTTGAGGACCCTCCCTACTTTCCTGTCTTAGGCTTCATTCCCTGAGAGAGTTCAGGAATCTCATGCTGAGCTTTGCTGCACGGTTCCTGCCCCTTCCCAGCACTTTGTCTCACAGTCTGTCAGCATCCACCTTCTTGCAGTTGTCTTGCCTTGAGTTTCTCTAAGAGCACAGCTTGACACAAGGACTCCAGTGCAGGAGACTGATTTGGGACGTGTCCCCGGGAACTAGGAATGATCACTGAGGAGAGAGGGCTTGTAGAAGGGGAAGACCCAGTAGGAAGTACTTTATTGATCTGGTTCCTGGGTGGGTTCAAGGGGCTCAACCTTATTCAGATGGCATCCCATGATTGCCCCATGGAGAGCAGAAGCCTGGGCATTTGTCCACAGAACCCTACGCCCCACTCATTGAGATGTGCGAGCAGGCTGGGAGGCTCCCTGGGAGGGGCAGTGCATCCATGCTGGGCGGGGTGGAGTTCTGTGCCGAGGAACCATAGATCGCAGCTGCAGTGAATTTACCACAAGCAACTGTTGTTGCAATTCTCATTCCTTTTGCTTCCCTGACTTGGTAATAATAACAACATGATTTATTGAGGGCTTTCTTATACCGCTTATCTTATCATCTAATCTTCTAAAGACCGTCCCATTGTGCAAGTAACAAACTGAGGGCTAGGTTAGGTGCTAAGTAATTTTTGGTGGGACCTAGGGAACTGGGGCTGAGGCAAAGCCTTTGTTCCCTTTCTTTGCATCCCCACTTTTGCCATCCATTCCCAGAAAGGATAAATTCCCAAGACAAGGAACCCTGGAGCCGACAATGACCATGTACCAGGGAATTATGCCAGATGGATTTGTGTAGAGCAAACATCACTAGACAGATCCTGGCATTAAAAACCTGGAAGAAGTGGCTCTAAATGCCTTTTGAAAATGAGGTGCACTTTTCTTGGCTGCTTGCTGTTGTGCAGAAAGCTTCTGAGATGAGATCTCTTGAAAGGTCTGCTGGGTTGACCTGGATTTTTTTCTCACTAGACTTGGCAAAGGCAAAGTCCTGCCTTTGCAAGTTGAGCATGGCCAGTGTTGTCCCCAGATTCTGCCAGCTGTTTGACAGCTGTGAACTGCTGCCTTGGAAGACCAAGAGTATGTCTAGGGAAGGAAAAGGAGCTGAAAGGGGAATGTGAAGGGTATGCTTTCCATCCAGAGCTTGCATACTCACTGCCACGGGGAATGAGACACCTCCAAGCCTTTGCTCTGAGGACTCCTTTTACTGTGGATGGCTTTCCACTTCATTCCCAGCTGGTCTTCTCTGGCTTGTGACTGCTCAGAAACAAGATGACTCCATCTGCTCCAGATAACCTACCAAAGGGCAGACATTTGTTCCTAAGTCCCTGGCACCCACCTCAGGCAGGCAGGGGTCTTGAGTTGGGGTCTCGTCTGCCCGCCTTCTTGACCCATTGAGGGTGCTACCGCCATATCTGAAAGCTCCTTTCTATGGTCTCCTCTCATTTAGGAGCTTGGGGTTCCCTTCCTTCTCCTTCAGGCTGGTACACAGATGCAACGGACTGACTTTTTTGTTGATATCCTAACCCCAAAGTGATGCTATTAGGAGGTGGGGTGTTTGACAGTGATTAGATCATGAGGGTGGAGCCTGTTGAATGTGATTAGCATCTTTATGAAGGGAATCCCCCAAAACTCTGTCATTCTCTTCCTGTTGTGAGACGATATGAGAAGACTGCAGACTGGGGCTATAGCTCAGTGTCAAAAGCACCTGCCTGGCAAATGCAAGGTCCTGCGTTTGATTATTGGTACCCAAAAAAAAAAAAAAAGGGAGAAGATTGCAGTCTTCCCTTCAGAGGAGGAGGCTTACCAGAGCTCAGCTATGCAGAGGCGCTAATCTTGGACTCCTAGCCACCAAAACTGTGAGAAATAAATGACTGCTGTTTATGCCACCAAGGCCATGGTAATTTGCTACAGCAGCTAAGACAGTAGGAAAGGATCTGGCAGCTATTGTCTCCTAGGAAGGAAAGCTGGCTTCTATGTGCTCCTAACTAGGACCAATGACATTTAAAACCTGTTGCTAATTATAGTGGAAAGGAAAGGACAGTTCACTTGAATCTATGTACTATGTTGGTTCATTCTGTAATTTAATCCCCAGAGATCCCAGCAACTTTTTTTGGCAGCAAGAGTGGTCTTTACAATCCTCATGGAAATGATTGCCTTTGATGAACTTGGCCCAGGGACTTAGGGTGAGCAGATTCAGCTTCAGCTTCATATAAACTGTAGGAACGAGGACTCTGCATCCGCCACAAGCAAAGTGCATCTTTTCTACTGTGTGTACTAGGCTAGGTCTATTTACTCTCTCTCTCTCTCTCTCTCTCTCTCTCTCTCTCTCTCTCTCTCTCTCTCTCCCACTCTCTCTCTCTCTCTCCCTCTTTCTCTCTCTCTCTTTCTCCTGCTCTCATTGTTTCCTTGGATTTTTATGTTTTAAATAATGTGCTTCTTAAGGCTCATTTGCAGAATTGTGCTGCCTTTAGTTAGGAAGTGCTCCTTTGCCAGCTCTGGGGTTTGGGGTAATCTTTTTGCCTGAATAACTGGTGGCTGGTGATGGCTGAGCCCGGGCAAAGCTGACCCCAGCTATGCTTGCATACCAGCCAGGCCTTGCCCTGTCACACACAAACAGCTCCCCAGAAGCTCCTGCACAACAAGCATAAGTAAACAAAGACCAGAGGATAAAGTAGCTTTATTTAAATGAACATTAAAAAACAAAACAAAACAAAATAAGCATTTGCATTTGGCAAGCGTCACTCTGAGACTGAGCCACACTTCCCAGAGCAGGTCTGACTGTGACCTCTTTTCCAGAACTTACAATGCATGACTTTTAATATCCCAACTTTTGCATCCTTCAAGGTCCCTTTAACAGGTCTCTTTCTCTGCCATCTCTTTGTCCTCTGTCTTTTGCTGTCACTTGCTACTCACATTTTCACCTCGGTCTCCTCCATACACCAAGCTTTCAGCAAAACCAGCCTCTTCCTGCAGACAATCCTCATCCCTCACCTTCTTCAAATTCCATCTCCAAACTCCTCATGGTCTCACTTGCTCTAGTCTCTATCCAGAGAGCACTCCCTCACTCAAGGGACACTCGGGGAATCAGAGGGCCTGGGCCTGATCCTTCCACCTGTTGGCTGTTACAGTCTCAGGTACAAGCTAAGCATCCCTTATTGGAAAATCTGAAACCTGAAATACTCCAAAATCCAAACCTTTTGAGTAATGATATGATACCACTCTTGGAAAAGTTCACACTATGAAAAACTGTTTCATGTGCAAAATTATTAAAAATATTGCAGAGAATTACCTTGAGTCTGTGTATATAAGGTATAGACACACAGAAATATTTTCAGATTCCAAGCTGTGTTCAGCCTATATTTCCTTATTTTTTAGGTTTTAGTAATCCCATGACAACAGGATGTGCCCTGAAGAGTATACAAATACTACAGAGTGCAAGCGGTGTCACCTGTGGGCCCTTGGGCACCACCACTCTCATCTCATGCCATTTTTCACCTACTGGAGATTAGCACTGTGCTTTCGGCTACCTGGCACCATCAAGGCGCTATGTCTACTACGGCACATTGGCGAGGGGGCTTTAGCATGGGGATGCAAGTCTCTGCTTCCCATGTTTATTCGGTGAGCTTCTCTAGCCCACAGCACCAGTCTGGGCTGAGCACAAAGCAAGAGCTCAGTCTTAAAGTGTATTATTGCATTGATTCAAGTTTCCATGGACAGATCTCCCACCAGTGTGATGGTGACATCACAGAGGCAGGATGGTGGAAAAACTCAATCTTCCTTGATGGTGGAAAAACTCAACCCTCCTTGTTCTGCTTTCTGAGCATGACCTCCAGCCAGAAGGGCAAACTGGCAGCTTGGCCCAGGTCCTTGACACTCACCCAGCAGTCCCAGGGCGCTGGACCATCTGCTAAAGGATTTCACTCTCCCACTGGAATAAAACTAGCCACAGAATGGGTGGGTAATATGGCCTTTTTTTAGATGAGCCAATCAGATGAGAAAAACAATTTGCATGCAAATCCAAAATAGAGACACTGCCATGTTATAAACCCCAAGTGAAGGCTGCATTCACATTCAGCTGGAAACCCCAAGTGTCACTTCTGAGCCATTTGCAGAGCTACACCATGGACCATGTCCTGGGAATTACTGTCTCTAGTGTGGAATCCTCACTCCTGAGCCAGCACCACACCACCAAAGGACCTTTGGCCTTCTCTCTGGGGTCACCACGCAAACCTCACAATCCCCTGGGAGAAACATCTCCTTCTTTTCATGGAAAGCACCCTAGTGGTTGCAGAAGATGAGGAAATGACTTTACCTCTTCCAAAAGGCCTACCTACCACACAAATGTTACTCAGAAAATATATTCCAATCCTCTTCTTTCCCACTAACATACCCCCCAAACGCTGCACACACAAGTACATTTTACTTTTGATGAAATTCACCTTTTTTTTTTTTTTTTTTGGTACTGGGGATTGAACTCATGACCTCACATTTGCTAGGTAGGTTCTATGCCACTGAGTTATATCACCAATATTCCCAGCTCACCTTCTTTTTAAAATAACCTAGCCTTGGGTATTCTCTCAGGGCAATACCATTGTGAAAATTGCACTGTGATGTCAGTCACAGTAAAACAAAACTAGTCTATAAAGAAATAATTTAAGAGCTACTTCAACTGGCTCTTGCTCAAACAATAGCAATCATCCAGTCACTCAAAGTGGGGTTGCCTTAGCCAGGCTCATCAATGGGATTAGAACCAACATCTCAGGGGCATCCCCAGACCTGGTTGACCCCAAAGCCTGGAAAAGCTGGTACAGTACTTTGTTTCAAATCCATTAAAGGTAAAATGCATAATATATAAGCAAGTGCTTCTGATTTGTGTTGGTTGGGAATTTCCAGCTGAATGTGAATGCAGCCTTCATGGTGTGCCCCAGAACTTTCAGGTGGAATCTTACTCAAAACAAAGGCTCAATCTGCCCAGTTCCTGAAATCACCCTTGATTACACTGAAACATACATAGAAAATGGAACCAAAAGAGGACAGATGACTCCTACTGGTGGCTAAAGAATTTGGTGAAAATTGCCAGTGCAATACAGTGTTTATTGGATCAGCCCCCTTTCTGGTGAGCACAGAATCATGTGTATATATCTTTGGTATCAAGCAGTGTGGTCTTATGCCTTAGGAAGGGAAGCTTAGAAGAGAGAAATGGACGAGGTTCTGGATAAGGGATGTCTGTCCAAGGATCTCTTCTCCCAGAGGCACCTGGAAGACAAGGTTTCTTCCTTCCATAGAGCAGCCTCAAGGCCTCAGCACACAATGCCAAGCTCCAGCTGCCGCAGCATTTCCAGCAGAAATCTCTTCATCCTTCTCAGGACCACCACCTCTATGGAGTACCGTGACTCTTTGAGGGTACTCTCCAGGTCCTGCAGCTCTGGCTCCGTGGTGTGTGGCAGAGGGCAGCCCTTAGAGGAGGCCATCATTTGGACAAGACTCTGGAGATTTTCCAGGTCGTTAGATATTTGCGCTGTGTGTGAGGAGGACAGGGTGGTGATGACCTTTTGATAGAGTGTCAATGTCTGGTCCATCTTGGGTAAACTCAGGTATGGGGAAAGAGGAATGAAGTCGAAACCAGTGACTTTGTGTTTAGAGGACACCGACTGCTGCACGAGAGAAAGAGAGAAACAAGTGTTGAGCAGTGGGGAGACAAGCTCTCTGAAGCCCTCCGCCACCGCTGTGAATGTAGGTGACAGCCTTATTCACCTTCCTCACTGTTTGCTGTGCCCAAGTGACTGCCGAATCTCCAAGCTGGTCTCCTAGATTCCTGCCCAGCTCAAACCATCCTACCTTCCACTTCTGACTGATCTTTTCTGGATATTCTTTTCTTCAAATCACCACGGTGAAGAAAGAGCCATGGCTTTCTATGTCTTGTTTAGTCGAATCTCTTCCCAGGCATCTTAGGTTCTCCCTAAGCACCCCATCACTCTCATTCCCCTCCACCCTCAGCAAATTCCTCCCTCCCGGTCAAGCCGTCATGCTTTTCCCCCTCCGTAATGGTCAGGGTCACACCATGCTGAACGCCTCATAAGAACATGGCTGTATGATGTTCTTATCATCTAGATGATGAGCAGGGCTTAAACACACTGACAAATCTGCTTAAGATCTCACAGAGGGATGGCAGATGTGGAAAGATTCATACTTGGTCTTCCTAATTCTAAACACAGATGCATCTGGAAAATGGCTAAAGGTCTAGCCTGTGAATCCCAGAGAAAACCCCAGGGTGGGCAGTGATAGATAGCTGTTTACAAATGTGCAGAGGGAAATTCACTTTTCTGTATGGCCTGAAAAGAGAACTAGATGTGATGAGAGGAAACTGCAGTGAGAACTCTAGGAACCCTAATGATATGCACATCTAGAGATGGGCCAAGCCCAGTGGGGCTGAGGTTCTGGTCACCTGCCAATTGGACAAGGACCTTCATGATTCTCTCTGGTTCTGGTTCTGAGGTCAGAGAGGAAGGAGAGTGAGAGAGGCAGAGGAGGCAGGGGAAGAGGAAGAGAAGTGGTTTGTGTGAGAGGGGGGGATCAAGACTGCCACAGCCCTTCCGTGTCACTGCACATGCCTTAGCCAACTTCTAAGGTCAGGAATTCCTTATGGGGGCTTCGTGATATCAGAGAATCCTATTTTTTTTAAAAGGAGAATATGGTAAAGTTAAATGCTCTTAAAGTGGTTAGGTTTAGAGCCACTCATTCCTGAATCCCAGCAGGCAGAGGGGTCAAGAGAAACAACTGGAAAGAATAGGAGCCCTGAGCTTTCAAATCCTCCTCAGCATCCAATAGGTGCCCAGCATTCAGAAAGTGTCAAAAGCATCTCTTGGACTACCTGGCTCCAGGCCCACCAGGAGCCAGCACAGGGCTGGCTATAGTTCTATTTTCTCTCCCCAGACCCTCCTTACCAGGTGTGAAATGTTACGGATCCTGTTGATAATGGTCTTGATGAGGAACTTGGCATCATCCTGGAGTTTTTGCATGGGCACAGCTTGAACATAGGATAGGTAGAGCCAAAGCCCCAGGAGCTGGAACAGAAGTCCACAGCGCATTTTCCTTCCCAGGATGAGCTTGTTGGGCCTGAAAACAGAAGCAACCTCACATTGCAGAGGCTGGTATTTCAGAACACACCCACCTGCCCTGCTGCAAACTGCATTGTCAGATGCGCTTGAAAGTGAGATTTGCTTCCCACCCTGTCAACTGCTTCCTTAAAGTCAAAGACAGTTCACTATCCAGACTCATATTAATGAAATGCATCCCCTTGGGTAAGGAATTATTGCTTAGTCAATAAAACCACAATGATCTGTCCAGCAGACCACAGAGCAGTGAGCCCAGGCATGATCAAATGGACGTTGAGGTAACAACGGGGACTTCACTGTGTGCTTTGAGGGAAAGAGAAGAGGCTGTTGAGGTCTGAATCCAGTCATTTACTCACTGCATATTACATAACTGTTCAAAACTCTGCTTTCATTCCTATAATATATCTATCTCCAGGCTTTTATGAAGATCAAATTAGATAATGTATGTGAAACCACGGAAAGGAGTTGTAGAATGTACTCTTTTACTCTCCTGTTATTAGAGATGATGTTACTCCCTTGGTTTCTCCATTATTCTCACAGCAGCCTGCAGCTACGTCTGGGATGGCCTTTCTCACTGCCTTATTATTTTCTTCCTCTCCCACTGGAAGCCTGAATCCAACCAGTACTTCTCCACCATGTAATAACAAGTCAGGCACAGAGCTAGGCACCAAGAATGCACAAGTGAATCACAGATGCCCCTTATCCCACAGCATCCAAGGCATAGCAGGAGAGAAACAAGTGGGTCCTTATAAGACAGCAAGCCAGATCTTTGCACGGAAGCCAAGTTCAGGCTATCACAGGAGCCCCAAGGATCTCCCTGGAAGAGGTGTCGCCTTTGGCTGGGTACTGAAGCCTGAAAACTGGTAAGAGTAGAAAGCGGTTGTGACAAGTGGCCGAGAGATCCGCAGTGCAAAGGCATCGAGGCAGGAAAGAACATAACATGCTCACCCAGAATGCGTGAAACTGGGTCAAGAATCATGGAACTGTGAATTCTAAAATTAATAATATGCAGATCCTTGATTAAGCAGCAAAATTTTAATGAGATACATGAAGCAAAAGGTAATTAAGGTAAATATATGCAAGTCTGTAGCCAATGATCCATGCTAAGTATGCGTGTATGAGTGTAAAATAACAACAAAATGAAAGTAAATATTAAGATGAAGATTCTTGGAGGGCAAGAAGTTGATCCCCACTTTTTGTGTTCTTCCTCATCTGGGTCTCTAAGGCATTTTCTTCGCAGAGGTGGCAATATTCATATAATTCATTTTTTGTCAGTAAAAATAAAACAAAAATAAGCAGACTGTTACATATTATTTATAATGGTTGGTCACAGTTTTCTTTTTCTAAAAGTCTATTTTACAGAAATGAAAAAAATGAGGAAGATGAGCTAACTTGCCCAAAATCAGACGAGTATGTGGCAAAGCTAAAATATTTGTGGAACAGAATTAAGTACCCTAGCCCTGCTTGCAATATGATCTTGCTTTCCAAGGTTTTAGTTACAATTGACCATAGTCCAAAAATATTAAATGAGAAAAATCTAGAAGTGACTAATTCCTAAGCTTTAATTGTACTTTTCTGAGTAGTGTGCTGAAGTCTTGCTCCATCTCACCTAGGATGTGAATTATCCCTTCATCCAGTGTATCCACACTGTGTACACTACCCACCCATTTATCAGTTAGTCATTGTTTTGGTTATCAGATCAGCTGCCATGGAATCACAGTGGTTGTGTTCAGATAACCCTTATTTAATTTAACAATGGTTCTAAAGTACAAAAGTAGTGATGCAAAGGAGGATAAAACATGGAAGGGCAGATTAATTCTGGTACCATGTGGTGATGCTGCAGGGCATATAAAGGAAAATCTAGTAGATATAAGGTTCAGTATTGTCTGCAGATTAGGGTATTGGAACATATCCCCCACAGAGAAGTGGGCACTACCATAGTTGCTACTCATCCAAACAGTTCCCTGAGAGCCTGGCAAAGGTAGGAGGCATCATGTTTAGGGCCTGAGGCTTTAGCAGCAGGCTCTGCCCTTATTAGCTGTGTGCCTCTGGGTGAGATACGCAATTCCCAAAGCATCTGTTCCTGTCAGTAAAATGCAGTTAATTCCACCACCTAGCCCAAAGGTTCAGCGAGATGAACCCATGGAGTCCCTGCCCACAATGTCATATGTCTGGCTCCAGGTAAGGGTAATAAATGTCAGATGCTTAAAAATTATCCTAATTCCAGGTATGAGTTGCAATGCTCAGGCCAACACCACCTGTAGCCAACTCTGAATTAAATATTCACCTCACTGCTTCCCACAGGCCATGCCAACAGGGAACCTGGTATTTCTGGGTTTCAGAAACCCAGCACAAGACTAAGCGCATTCTTTTCTAAGATTTATGTTGAATATTCTCTCACTCCTGAGAAAATTTATTGCCAGATTAACTCTGGTTGTATTATAGCCATTTTCACATAATGGCCATCCTCTAACTCCTGAATGGAAAGCAGGTTTACAAGCCCCTCTATCACTACTGATCATGTGCTTCAGTGGATGCTGATCAGTGCTTCAGTTCCTTGAAAGCATGGAATTGAAAAGCAGTTGCTGAGCAAGTCAGCTAAGAGGAGAAGTCCAGGCTTAGGGGCTACCTGCTGGGGCTGCAGAGAGAAATGGCAACAGGTCCATCTGAGATCAGCGTGAGGGCAACACACAACACAATACATGCATACGCACCTGTGCACACACATGTACACACACACCCCAATATACATCAGCTTTGTAATAGAGACTGCTGGTTGTCCCCAGTGCTGTCTTTCCTTCTCATCCCCTTGTGGAAACTCAAATGTGTGTGGCCATCCAGAGCAAATCCTGTACTCCCAGCTTCTTCTAGAGACGTGGCTATGCAAATAAATCTCGGCCAGTTAGATGGAAGCCTAAGTGCTGTAAGACAGCTCTCAGGACCCCACTGTGTGAGTTTGCTTCTTGCTTTCTCATCCTTTCCTTCATTCTAGTGCCCGAAATGCAGAGGTGATAGCAAGCACTCTAGCACCCTCTTGACTCTGGGGACAAAAGCCTCCCTCGTGAATGGCAGACAGGATGCTGCAAAAGCCTTAGTGCCTGAGTTCCTTGCGGAGTTGAGATGTCACCTTCGTTTTGGACAACCTGTCTCTGGCTTTGTGCCTTCTGGATGTGAGAGTCATAATGTCTGCCTTGTTTAAGCCACTGTTCTTCGGGGTCTCCGCTGCATGCAGCCAAAGTTAATGCCAGATGACTAATGCACCCCAACATGGACAGCAGCAGAAAAGAATGGACAAGTCTTCTAGGTTCCCCTGAGGGGGGCCTGGTGATGGCCCAAGAAAGGGAGAGAGAGAGTGGCCAGGAGTGGCAGGGACTAGGAGAGGAGGGATACTCAAGACCGCAAATACTTCACTGAATATGGTGCCTGACAAACAGTCAGCACTCAAGATACATTTGATGGTTGGCAGCTAACATCTATTGAAAGCCCAGGGCCAGGACAGAGATGAAACAACCTCAGGGAAGTGGGAGAGAGCTGGGGTGAGGAGGGATGGGTCACAGGCTGAAGGCTTCCTCAGGAGGCATAGGTACTATATTATACTAATTTTGCAACTATTTGCATATATTATTTATTACAAATTAAAGGACAAAATGGTGTTCTTCTGGCTTAAGAATTTACATAATTAATTTCAACACAAAGAAGAATATTTAAATAGATAAAATGCTTTGGATAATTCAGGAAAAGAAGTCATTATGATGAGATTTATGAACTTCAGAGTCCAGCAGAACTATATTTGAATTCAAAAATAAGACCTAGGGAAAAAAAGGACTGGGCAAAGTGTGTGCACCTTTGAGACTCAGTTTCTTTAGCTATACAATGGCGTTGATGCGAATCATAATTCCCACTACTGTTACTGTTGTGTGGCTGAACTGAGGTGGTGCATGTCAAGTGCCACCTCTGCTTGGCATGTAGCCTGGCATGTCAAGTGCCACCTCCGTCCAATCTATGTTAGCTGTTATTGCCGTTACTTCTAAGAAGAAATAGGATGGAGAAGATGAGATTTGATAAAGGGCCTGAGTATATTGGATTTGGGTCCGTGAAGGTAGAAGACAAGATCCATGCCAGTAGAGGCTGAAGAACTCAGGTGGGTTCAGAAGATGGTGGCTTTCAGCTGGGTGGAGACTGACAAGGATGAGGGTGTGGGTTGGGATGGGGAAGCTATGAGAGCTGGTCTGGGTGCTGTGCTGCCATCTGCAGAACTGAGGAACACAGGTTTTCCGCCTGGGTGACCAAAAGAATGGAGACATAGACACTGAGAGAGACACACGGACAGGTTTGGGAAAGAGGGTTGTGGGGACAGTCTAGTCTCCTGGTATTGCACTGGTGGAGCATCGGGTGGGTGTGTCCAGTGGGAAGCTGGACTCAGGAGTCTGAACTCAGGAGAAAAGGCCTGTGGTAGAGCCCCAGGAGCTGTAGACCACCGTAGAGGAGGGAGATGAGAGGCAGTGGGCAGGAAGAAAGGCTACTGTCACCTGCCAGCCTGGACTGCAAAGCCTTTACTCTCCAAAGGTTTCTAAAATGGGATTTGAACACAGAGGAGCTGTAAGAGCCAGAAAGATGAATTGCCAAAACCGTCATGCAGCACTGTTGTTTCTTTCTCATTGTCTAGGGAATCCTGAAGCAAGAAGTGGAGAGGAGAGGGACTGTGCCCAGGAGGCCAGAGGGTTAATGGGCTTGGGTGGGGAGGGCTTGCACACTGCCTGGACACAGTCCACTCCGTGTATCCCTCACACCGCTCCTTTCTCTCATGTTTGGCCATTTTCCTCACTAGCCTTTCTGCAGACTACCTATACTGTGGAATACTATTTACCCATAAAGGAATGAAATTCTCTCGTGTTCAAGAACATGGATGGAACCGGAGGACTTTAGATTAAGTTGACTTCAAAGAAGCAGAGATCTCTTTCTTTTATAGTTACATGGCCTCAGGCACTTTGTTATAGTAGCGAACACAAACTAATAGACTTGAGATGTTTTCATCTTTCTGAATATTTTTCAATCTGAAATTCATCCTTACTATTGGTGATACACTTGAGAGTTTCTGTTCATTTTTCAAATGTTAGTCATAATTAATAATTTGAGAATCACTGAGTTAGAAAGAACCATTTACTTTCCTTTGCAACCAAAAGCCCTGTTTGACAAACTGTGTTAACATATTAAACTGGTAGCCAGAGTACGGAAGTGGGGATTATATTCTTCCTGTTCATCAGGAACTACCCTGAGATTGATCTCACCAGGGGAAGCAAATAGGTTTCAACTCTTGTGTCAACTCTGATCAATTTTAAATGGCTCCCTGGAGCACTGTAGGAGGTGAACCTGAAGTTCTGGCCAGACTCAGAGGGAGAGGGTGCCACAATCAATTAGTGACCCTGCACTTGTTTCAGCATCTACCAAGGGCCTGGCATGGAGCAGGTGTTTGCTAAATACCTGTTGAATGAATATATGAAACATTTCCTAGCCCTGATCTTCATTGGCTAACCAAGTTAACCTGCCTCCATGGCACCTCACACCTGCTCCCATCTGAAAGCCAAATTCTAAATTCAATGCTGCTCAGCTGAATTGCCAAGGAAGCTGTCTCAATAGGCAGATGCCTCTTTGGGGTCCAGGTCTCCTTTGCTGAACACCTTGATCATCTTTCTTATTTCTCTCTCTCTCTCCCTCTCCCTTTCCCTCTCCCTCTCCCTCTCCTTCTCCCTTTCCCTCTCCCTCTCCGTCTCCCCACCCCCTCTGAGACAGGGTCTCACTCTGTAGTCCAGGCTGGCCTCTAACTTGCTACTATCCTGCCGCAGCCCCTCCAGTTCCGGGATTACCTGTGTGCACTACCACGCCTGGCCTTGGTCAGTTTTCTGCACCACCTGCATGTCCCTCAGTATCCATGGGGACCCAGACTCCCTTCAGTTTCCGGAGCTCTACTCCACCTGGATTGCTGTCCCCAGGTGTCCCTGCCATGGACCCCATTCACGAGCCTGGCCCCTGACCCTGTCCTCTGAGCCCCTGTCCTTGCCAGGGACTTGTGCTTTGCCCCTATCTTCTCTGTCACTTCCTCGACAGAGTCCAGAGCACAACACAGCATATCTACGGATGGGGACTAAACCTGCCCCTCGGCCAGCTAAAATGTAAGCCCGGACCCCGATTACAGATTCAGTTCCAGAGCATTAGCAAAATGAGCAGGAATTATGGTGACATGTATTGTTCAAGGCTCAGTCCACATGTGCTGTGTGAGTGAGGACACCTGTGGACCTGGGCACCAGGTGTGCTGTTTTTAAGCAGAAAACAACCTGTCTGTTTCTCAGAGACAACAGTGGAGACAGAGAAGAACTTCAAGGCTCTTTATCCACGAGTCAGAATGGAGTTGTGGCTGCTGGAATCTTCCCACCACTCCTGCCTTGTGAGATTGGGCTCTGCTGATGGACTGAATACCTGATCATTTGGCTTGATTTGCCTTTCAGTCCCACAGATGTTACTCAGGGATGCATGCAGCAGGATTCTATCTCCCTGGAGCCTCTTTTCTCTCCCTGGCTTCCATGCTCCCCTGGGGCATCTAGGCAGGGGTGGGACAATGGCCCTGGGCTCTACTAGGAGAGTTCTCCCAGATGGCCATGTTGTATGGGCCATTGAGACATGTGAGGCATCTGCTTGGGGCCAGTGGGCAATAATTCATTGCAACTTCTCTGGCTCTGTCCTTGACACTTGGAGTGATTTCTTGGAACAGAGCAGGAGGAGTATATTTCCCTCAGATATCAAGAAGAGTTATTTTGAGTATAGGATACACAAAATATGAGAAAGATGCTTCTCTGGCCAACACTGAAATATTCCCCCCAATCAATGTCCTCAGTTGCTTGAGAAGGAAAAGAATAAAAAAGCATTCATTTTTTTTTTCTTGGCTCTTAACTCCTTGTCTAAAAGAGATAAATGATCAGTATGGCCTTTCCAAACCTAACGATATAAAATGGGAGCTAAGTTACTAGGAACCCCTCTCCTTTGGAGTTTGGTTCCACAGACCATTCCGGTGGGAGACTGAGTACTCCAGTCCCAACTCAAAACTCTCCAGAACAAACACAGGGGGAGCCATCAAGGGCAAATCCCACCCTTCCAAGGACACTCAGAGATCTTAGGACAGTACTAAGCCTGGGCCTCTGCCCACCTCCCCCCAAAGAGCATCTTCTCAATGAATCATCTGGTCCTCTCCAAAGCAGTTATTTACACATGACAATCAGGCCACTTATCTCACTGGATCTTGCTGTATTAAAGGAATCATTTTCCCAAAGTACCACCATCTTGTAAGCCATAGAAGCAAGAGTGCAAAGGCAACAACGCCCACAGTGAAGTCTAAACCAAGTCTAGGAGGAAAAAAGACTGGGTGGTCTCCCAAGAGCCCCATCTGCCAACAGGGTGGATTTGGCTAGAAATTTGTAAGAGTGAAAAACTTGCAGGATATAGGCCTTTCTTACAGCCTGCCGTTCTGTTCCCCAGACACCCAGTTGTGTCCACTGTGAAGAAGACAATTTGCAGGCTTTGAGACCTGATGTTATCCAACTGGCCCAGACTGTCTGGGAGATCTGGGATCTGCCTGACACTTCTCCTGCCTATCTCTCCTACAATCCAAGTCCTAGGCCTGGATCTTCTGCAGATCCTCTTAGACAGGGGCCAGGACCCTCCCTGCAAAATGAATCCAAAGCCTTCACCTGCCCAGCAAGGGTGTCTATCCTCAGAAACTGAAAGCTCTCTATTTGTGTCCTGGACACCTCAACTGTGTTTCTTTCAGATACAGGGCAGTTTCCAAAGCATCTTAGAACTCAGACATAATAATCTTTTGGGGCCCTGGCTGGTTCTTTAAGGCAAACTCCTGCTCTGCACAGCCCACCCTAAATTACCTGTCCAGCTCCCAGCCAGCTCCCAGCTGCCTTCTTGCTGGCTGAAACTCTGTGTAAAGCTGCACAGTCCAGAACCAAACCATTTGCCCTGCTCCCCACCTGCCTCAGTTTCCCCAGACAGAGTCAGGGTGGGATGCTGTAGCCTGCCAGCAAAGACCAGCAAAGGCTATAGAAGTGCACCCGGGCTTACCTCGCAGCTGCTGGTACCGGGATTCTTCTGGAGCTCCATGCCTGCCAGCCCCTCTTATAGCTCCGCAGCACCACTTGCGCAACTGCAGGGCAGGTCCCGGCTCAGCACTCGAGGCTGGGCGGGCTGCTGTGGATGAGGGACACGGTGCCTTCAGCAGTTTCGTGCCAGGAGTCAGGCATGCATTCTCGGGTGTGTCCCAAACGTTTGGGGGCAGTTGGCAAGAAATCCTCGAGGTCCCGCCAGACTCAACGATCGTATCTGGGGACCAACTTCAGGGTGGGGTGACGCGGCCAGTGCGGGTGGTTCTGTGGAGCCGGCTGTGGGCCAACGTGGCGTCCTCGTTGCTCCCCACAGAGGAGCAGCTCTCTTTGGGGGTGCTGCAAGGCGACGGGGTGAGCGGGGGCTGCAGGCTGCTGCCTCCGTGGCGCTTAGCCCCGATGGCCCTCCAAACCTGGGACCACAGGATTAGAGGGAGCAGCCATGGCACCCTGGAGACATGTGTCTTGGTAGGTGTGAGGAGTCTGCCTCCAAGACTGAGAGCAGTGTGCCAGCTCCTGGGTTCCAGGAACCCCGACTTTTGCACGCTCTGGCCGTGCTACGTGTCTTCATCCTCAACCTGGTATTTCCTTTGTACAGAGGAGGATATCTCAGACGTGATGTTTTCGTCCCCCTTATCTGTCAGCAGGGTGGCTTTCGCCTCGGGCTTCCATTGTGAGGAGGCAGGTGCAGAGAGGTTACGTGATGTCCCTTACAAACCCCCAGCAGTAGGAGTAGGGTCAGGAACCCGAGTATCAACAACTACATCAGTCCCATTCGGGTCCCCACTGCTGAGAGCAGTTCTAAGCACAAACCAGCGATCCTATTCGGAGGATGCAGGCAGTACCGAGTTAAGCCATGAGCCAGAAATGGGTTATAGACACTTAAGTGATTTGGGGGGACACAGAGACCAAAGAAAGAACAGTTCTGACATGTGAAAATTGTAGGAAATTTATATTTCAGTGTTCACAAATAAAGCTTTGAATTTTGTCCACAATTTTGAGAAATGTTTTTCTCTTGTATATAAGTACCTACAAAATATCCCTAATTGTGCCTTTTGGCCTGCAAAATCTAAAATATTTGCCATCTGGCCCTTTAGAGATAAAGTTTGCCAACTCCTGATGGAGGGCACACATGTCCACGTTGCAAAGTCTCCTCCGGGCCTTTGGTTCTGGCTGCCTCTCAGCAGGGTTGCCCGACGGCGCCTCCATTCCACCCCCAGGCAGATCTCCCCAGCCCTCCCCCTCTCTCTCCATCATCGTGGGAGCCTGTGCTAGTCACCATTTTTGCTGACTCCCCACTCCCTGACTGGGTCAGGGGGCTGTTCTGCCTCCTCCCTAGGTTACAAGTGAACGACAGGAGTCAGACCATCCCTTTGTGTGTGTGTGTCTTTTTGAGACAGGGTCTTACCATGCAGTTCAAGCAGGACTTGAGCTCACTTTGTAGCCCAGGCTAGTATCAAACTTGCAACCATCCTCCTGCCTCGGCCTCCCACATGCTAGGATTACAGGTGTGTGCCGCCTCGCCTGACTAGGCCATCCCTTCTGATGTTCTTACCTTCACTGTGCCAAACACAAACGAATATGCCTAGGAAAATTTGCAGAATGGAATTTCAGGGGCACTGTGCTCCGCAGAGCTGATTTTTGACATGTGTTAGATTACTGCACCAGGCTACAGTGATGATAGATTTGTGTAACTTGGGAAGATACATGTGCAGAGATGATGATGTGAAGGGAACACGGAAAAGGAGGCTCATACCCTTCCTGGAGGTGGCTGTCATTGTACTTGAGACATCCTAATGGAGACCTCCCCAAAGACCACATAGGGCCTGTCTTATTCATGGAAACACCTCCTGTTCATAGCCCTGTTCATTTGAAGAAGTATAAATGAAGATATCATGCATATAGAAAAGTGAACAATCATATAACAAATATAACTCTCAGCCACACAGAGCAGTTCTTTCCTGTATCTGCTGATTTATTTATTTATTTTTGGCAAAAGCATTTCAAAGCCAATTGCAAACGTGAATTCCATCCCTAAATACTTTAGGACTTCCTAAAAAATAAGACTTTTTATATAACCACCAGACCATTATCACACAATAGCAATTCTTTAGCATCATAATAGAGTGAGTCTTATTGAATTTCCTCAAATGTCTCAGGCATGTCTTACTAGTTGCTTTGTTTGAACCTGGTTGTTTTGCTGTTAATAAATATTTACTTATTTATTCCATGATGCTAAGGATCAAACCCCAGGACTCATATGTATGAAGTTCTCCCATTGAGCTACACCCCTTTGCCCTGGGATTATTATTTTTTAATTTTTATGTTATTTTAAAGAGAGAGAGAGAGAGAGAGAGAAGAAATAAAAAACAATGATGTAAAATTTCAAAACAAGGTAACAGGAAATTGACAATAGTTAATACACTGCATATGGTTGTCTTTAAAATAGTTGCTCAGATTACAAGATACAGGCAAACAAAATTGATCAATCAATATAAGCGCAGACCAATCTTTTCAATGAACTAGAAGAAATTAGTAGTATAATTATGTTGGCTATCATATGAATTTTTTCTTTTTCTTTCCTTCTTTTCTCCTTTCCCCCATCCCAGTTGTTCTTTTCTTTTGAATAGTTTCTTTCCCTTTCTCAATATCTATTGCAGATTTTGTATCTTATTTACTCTTTTAGTTTTTTACACCAGAGAGACAAAATGATGTTTATGCATGTGAATTTGATTTATTTCACTTATAAGTAGTCTCTAGTTGTGTCCATTTACCTATCAAAGCCTCAAGTTTATTCTTCTTTATAGCTGAGTAGTACTCCATTATATAAAAATACCACATCTTTTTTATCCATTCCTCAGTTGATGGGCATTTATATTGTTTCCAAGATTAGCTATTACAAATTGTGCTGTTATAAATATGGGTGCACATATGTCACTATGATATGATGTTTTTAATTCTTCAGAGAAAATACCCAGAAGAGAAATAGCTGGGTCAAATGGGACCTCTAATCTTAGTTTTCTGAGGAATCTCCTCACTGATTTCCAGATGGGGTGCACCAGTCTACACTCCCACCAAGAGTGGAGAAGGGTTCCTTTTTCCTCACAACCCCAACAGCATTTGTTATTGGTTGATTTCTTGATGATAGTCATTCTTTCTGGGGTGAGATGGAATCTCAGTGTTGTTTTAATTTGCATTTCTCAGAAGACCAATGATGTTGAACATTTTTTCATATATTTATTTACTATTTGTATTTCTTCATCTGGAAAATGTGTATTCATCTCAGATGCCCATTTTTGGATTGGGTCTTTGAATTTGGGGGGCCTGATTTTTTCTCTTTATATGTTCTAAATAAAAGCCCTTTGTCTGAGGGATAGCTGGCTAAAATTTTTTCCCAATTCATGGATTTTCTTTTCACACTGTTGGTGAATTCTTTTGGTGTGCAAAAACTTTTTAATAGGATGAGATCCCAGTTGTTTATTCATTGAAATACTTCCCGTGCAGTTTCGTTTTTGCTCATTAACTCTCTGCCCACTCCTATATCTTCTAGATTTCTACCAGCTTTGTCTTCCAGCAGATTTATTGTTTCTGTCTTACTATTTAGATCTTTTATACATTTTGACTTTAGTTTAGTGAGTCTATCACTCATGGTGATAGACATGAGTCTAGTTTTTCCAGCACCATTTGTTAAAGAGGTTTTTTCCCAGTAAACATATTTGGCTTCTTTGTCAAAGATAAGGTGACTGAGTGTGTTTGTAGTTATTTCTGCATCTTCTAATCTGTTGTGCTGAGCCGCACGTCTGTTTTTGTTTTGCTAGTACCATACTGATTTTATCATAGTAGCTTTGTAGTAAAATTTCAAGTCAGGGGTTATGACGTCTCCTGCCTTATCTTTGTTGCCCAGGATTGCTTTTGCTATTCTACATTTCTTCTGGTTCCAGATGAATTTTAGGAATGATATCTCTAGATCTGTGAGGTACTTAATGATATTTTGATAGCGATTGCATTCAATCTGTGTAACAGTTTTGGGAGAATGGCCATTTTCATTACGTTGGTTCTTCTTATCCATGAACAAGGAAATCTTTCCATTTTCTGATATCCTCTTCAACTTCCTTTTCTCAGAGTGCTGTAATTTTCCACGTAGATATCTTTTATTTCCTTTGTTAGACTGATTCCTAAGTAATTCATTTTTTTGGATGTTATTGTGAAGCTTGTGGTTTCACTAATTTCTTTCTCAGTGAGTTTGTTGTTTGTGTACAGGAATGCTATTGATTTTTGAGTACTAACTTTGTATCCAGCTATAGTACTGAATTTGGTTATTAGTTCTAGAAGTCTTTCAGTGGAGTTTTTGGGGTCTTTTATGTAAAGCATCATGTCATCTGCAAATAATGATAATTTAACTTCTTCCTTTCCTATCTGTATTCCTTTTATTTTTCACTTGTCTGATTGCCTTGGCTAGTGTTTCCAGAACTATATTGAATGGGAGTAGTAATAGTAGACAATCTTGTCTTGTTCATGATTTTAGAGTGAAAGTTTTTAGTTTTTGTCCATTTAGTAAGATGTTGGCTGTTGTTTTGTCATAGATGGCTTTTATCAGGTTGAAGTAAAGACAATCTATTCCAATTTTCTGTAGGATTTTTATCATGAATGAGTGTTAGACTTTATCAGAATATTTTTCTGGGGCCAGGGATATAGCTTAGTGGCATAAGCACCTACCTGGCAAGTGCAAGGTAGGTTCTGAATTTGATTCCTGGTACCAAAAAACCAAAACAAAACAAAAAAATTTTTCTGCATCTATTGAGATGACCATGTTATTTTTGTCTTTGGCTCTGTTGATATCGTGTATTATGTTTATTGATTTGTATACATTGTTGTAGCTATCTTTTTTGGTTGGTTCTTTCTCTGGGTTTCATATCAGAGTAAGACTTGCCTCCAAGAATGAGTGAGGGAGAATTGTTTCACTTTCAATTTCATTAAAGAGTTGGAGGAGTATTGGCATCAAATCTTCTCTAAATTTCTTGTAGAATTCAGCCATGGATCCATCAAGACCATGGATCTTCTTTGTTGTTAATTTTTTATTATGTTTCAGTTTCATTAATTGATATCAGGTTATTCAGAATTTTATACCTTCTTGATTCAGCTTTGGTAGTTCATACATTTCTAGGAATCTGTCCGTTTCTTCTGTGCTTTCCAACTGCTGAAAGTAAAGATTTTTGAAGTAGGTATTGATGATCTTCTGAATTTCCACAGGGTCTGCAGTGATTTGACCATTTTCATTCCTTATTGCTTGGATTTGAGGGTTTTTTTTATAAAGTTGGATAGGGGTTTATCAATTTTATTCACTCTTTCAAAAAAATCAACTCTTTCCTTAATTCTTTGCATTGTTTTTCTCAATTGTGTTAATTTCTGCTTTGATCTTTATAATTGCTTCTCTTGTATGGGCTTTAGGTTGATTTGCTCTTCTTTTTCTAGAAGCTTGAGGTGCCGCATTAGGTTGTTTGGTTGTGCTCATTCTGTTTTTCTGATGTGAGAGTTCACCATTATGAATCTCCTTGTTATGACTGTTTTCAATGCATCCCACAGGTTCCCATAAATTGTATTTGTTTTATTTTAGATATTATTTAATTTCATCTGTGACTCATTGATTGTTCAGGAGAGTATTAATTTCCATGTGTTTATGGAGTTCATGCAGTTTCTTTTACCATTAATTTCCAATTTCATTGCTCTATGGTCATATAATATGCACTGGATAATTTTGATTCCTTTGCATTTACTTAAGCATGTTCTATGGGCTAGGATATGGTCAGTTTTAGAGAATGTCCCATGTGCAGCTGAAAAGAATGTGTTTTTTAATGTTGTTGGGTAGAAAACTATGTAGACATTTAAGTTCATTTGTCCACAGGTTTGATTCAGTTCTGTTGTTTGCCGATTTTTTATTTTTTTTGGTACTGGGGTTTGAACTCATAACTCTTGCTTGCCAGGTAGGCTCTGTGCCATTGAGCTATATCCCTGGCCCTCTTTGCTGATTTTTTTGTCTAGTTGATCTCTTTGTGACAGTGGGTTATTAAGGTTTGCTGTTATAATTATGTTATTGCTTATTTGATTTTTCATATCTATTAATATTTGTCTCATAATTTGTAGCTTCTATATTTGGTGCATATATGCTTATGATTGTTATCTCTTTCTCTTGAAGTTTTCAACCTGGGATTTAAAAAAAATTTTTTTAAATTTTATTTAAAGAAAGACTAAACAAAACAGAAAATGAGTAGAAATAATACATTCAAAACAAAAGTAAACAGTAAGAAATCACTAGTTGATGCTTACATACTGTCCTCTTACAGATAGTTATTCAAGATACTAAAGTGGAGCATATAAAGTAGGGATTCAAACAGTGAGACTGCAACAACCTGGGATTATTTTTAAGAAAGAAGTCTTTTACATTCCATGGAAAAGGTGGGGTTTTGTTTTGTTTACTTTTTTTGTGTGTGTGTGCCAGGGACTGTACTCATGACCGTGCACTTGCAATCCAGGTGCTTATGCCACTGAGCTAAATCCCCAGCCCTTGTTTACGTTTTATCTATAGACTGTAGTGCTTGTATATAACCAAGTTGTTTGTTGTCCTCAACATCTTTGTATTTGTGCTCCAAGGAAAGACAGCTTATTGTAAGGCTTGGCAGCCTCAGGGAGGTTACCTTTTAGGGGTTACTAGGTTAGTTGAGACCCACAGGGCTCTAGCCTGCATGCAAGCAATGCTTGAAATCATAATGTGAGGATGTAGGCTATCTGTTCATAAACTTGTTTTTGCATTTGGTTGATTTTTAAAATATTGTTTACTCTAAAAATAAGTACTAAATAATAGGGTTAAAAACAAGTTTGAAAGACATAAAAAGAGATGAAGACTCAGTTTTCCGCAGGCTTTCTTCTCTCCTTAGGAGTAACTGTTATTACCAGTTTTTGTCATGGCCTTCCAGGGGTATTATTTTTTAAAATAAATGTTGTCATTTTATTTCAAGTAAGTCCTCTGAGTTGCTTAATAAGCTATTTATTAAAAGTCAAATGTTAAAATACATTATTCATTCAACAGTTGTGATCATTTATTGTGCATAGCTAATAGTCTCGCCTAGAATTAACTTTAAATGTAGGTAAGTGATACTTATGCCTAAAAACTTCACCAAATTCTATAATCACTGTATGTATGTAATGGAGAGAAAGACTTCATAGAGGTGGTTAGATTTGAACGTGGTTTTGACATTACTGGTTATAATGATTTTCCTTTTATTCTTTAAAAATGTTTTTTTCTTAACATTGTTTGAAATACATAATGAAAATATTGGGACATATACATATCATATCTTACTATCTTTTTATCCTTTATAGTTGTGTTTTCTCTTAAAAAGGCACACATGTACAAATGAAGACATAGTAATCATGTTACAGTTCATGCCCCTTAACTTTAAAATTTTTCATTTTGGAAAATTTGAAATCTCCACAATACATTTATAAGAAAAAGTGGCATGAAAAATATGAGCCTGTCATCTGACTTTAATCATTATTAATTTTACTTCTTTCCCTTAATTTGCTAGTGTACATAGACCTGTGCCTGTCCTTTTAAAGTAAGTGTGTAATCCATTTTATGGATGCACCATATTATATCTAACCATATTGTTACATACATAATATTGCAATTAATATATCTAAATATTACTTTTTTGAGCACTGGGAGAGTATATCTATGGGAGAAATTCTGATAAGTAGAATTACTTAGTCAAAGGGTATACGCATTCAAAATAGAAATATTGCCAAGTTCTATTCCTTAGAGATTGCACCAATTTGCATATGCAATTGACAGCAAGTAACAGTGGTTTAAACATTAACAATATTTAGTTATCTCTTCTACGCAGGAGCCTGGAGGGAGGTGGGTGTGGGAACCCAGTGGCATCTTCAAGAATCCTTCTCTTTCTGATCTGTGTTTCCCTTGTGTCCTTGTGCTCAGCCTTGAAGTCCCAAGAGGAATGCTACTCCTCATACATGACAGCCACACAGCGTAGGAAAGGCAGGGCTGAGGCAGGCCAGACTGGGACATACGCTCATCCTTAGTAAATCCCTGGCAAAGTGGAATAGGATTGCCATGACTGACTTAGACCAATGAGAATTCTTCCCCTGGGCTGGAGAAGATCTAGACAGATGAGAGGAGGCCTGTCTCATGGTCCCTGATGTGTAGTAGGTGCTCCACAAATACACTCCAAATGCATAATGCAAGTCTGAGCAAGTGACAGTGGAGAAAGATTCCATGGGCATGGAAGGAGAGGAGTGGCTCTTGGGTATAAAACATGTAGTATTCACTGTACTCATCTATAATGTACTGTCACACTTCTGAGAGACTCAAGTTCATCATAAAATAGTAAGACTTAAAAATTGCTTTTCCTTGAGTCCCGATCGTTACAATTTTATAAAAAGGTCATTCTAGCACTTTGAATTTGAATAACACTTCTGTGCTTATAAAAATACTTACCATGATCTCATTTGGTTTTGTTATAACCCAGACAAGAGGTGGAGTAGGTTGTATTTGGTCATATTTGATGGTATCCAAAGAAGCCCAAGATCCAGAGTGCTCAAAGGACTTGCCCCCAAAGTCATAGGCCTGGTTATCTGGCCTGTCTTCATCTTTACGTTTCCTTCTTCCGCATGCATGAAACTATCATAAGATGCCACCATTCTCAGTCAAGGGGTCTCTGTAGTCCTGAACTGATAACCATGGCAAGCTAATGGCATTAGCCATGAGGTGTACCATCATCAGAAGGTGGCCTCATAGATACCCAGGCTTTGCAGAATGACAGGTGGCACTCTGTCAAGGAAGAAGGAAGGCAAGAGAGGGTTAGAGCTCCAGTGTGATTTCACGTAATCTCAAGAAGCTTTCTGAGTGTGAAAGATGCTTTTCAGTTCTTATCTGTAGGTCTACATAGGCCTGAAGCTAAGGCCAACAACTAGATAATTCAGTCAAATAGTGTGTCTATATGTTCCAGAATTGTGTGTGTGTGTGTGTGTGTGTGTGTGTGTAATTCTTTTGGCGTGGATGTACCTAGAGAATAGCTCCTTAAGGGCAAAGATCATGTCTCGTTCACCTCCCTATTCCCAGCCTGACCTAGTGACTGATGCAAAGCATGTAGTACCTGTTGTGTGATGCATGTCTGAGTTTTGCTAATGAAAGATGTTTTCCCTGTCATCATCTCCTAGAGTTCCCTATCTATTTATGCATAACACCAAACAAAACTTACAATTGATTGGGTAATTAAATGCTAATTTATCATTTGTATGTTTTGCCTATTTGTTTTTTTAGAGAGAGTCTTTCTAATGTCAGGCAAGTCTCAAACTCCTGGGCTCAAGTAACCCTCTCACCTCAGCTTTCTAAGTAGCTGGAACTATTATTGGATGAAAAGTTCCATGGGGCTTGCTTTCAGGTTCTTGGTGTCCCCAAAATGGATTGGACCAGACATAGAAAAGGCAGCAAAAGTGTACATTTACTGAAGGTTGGGGATTTCCTCAAGAACAAACTTTGTGGCTATTGCTTGGGAGTTAGAGAAGTGAGACTATAGGTAGGACCAGAACCTTTACAGATGGATGGGGAGGTGGTCCTTAGCCAGTGACTGACAGAAAGGCATGCTCTGATCCATGCTGACTACCATTCTAGAACTACATGTGCACTCCATATGACCCAGGTATTTTTAAAAGATTGTTTATTGTATAATATTTTAGACTTCCAGAAAAGTTACCAAAATGAGACAGAGTTCCCATATACCCCAACTCCATTTTTTTCTATTAACATTAGTGTGTGTTTGTCACAAATAATGAGCTAATATCAATACTTTACTATTAACCAGAGTCCATGTTTTATTTAGAGTTCTTCAGATTTGTCCTAATACCCTTTTTCTGTTCCAGGATTGAATTTATGTTTTTGTCTCCATCATGAGAATGGGAGTTTCCTGTAGGTCAAGACTGTCCAGTCTCTGAGTCCAGAAGGGCTCCATAGACTGTTAAATGAAGCTCTGAGCAAATGTTTGCATGTTTAGTTTTTAACTAAACATGTTTGGTACTCAGTAAGCCCTAAATAACTATCTATGGAATAAATGCCCAACTAACTATAATGATGACTTTAGGTTAACACTCTTGCCAGGTCTGGCAAAGACTGCAGTCTGATAAAGCAGAGCATGGCCAGGAAGCCAGGCCACCCAGCTGGACTGCAGATGGACAGATAGTCCACCATGAGGCCACTTACCTCTCTTGTGTCTCACTTATTTCCCAACTTTCTCTAGTTCTGCCTCATGATTTTATTCATCAGTGAGTGACCTATTGCATTTAGTTGATGCCTCCCAACTCTGGCTTCCACCTCATTTGCTTTGCTTGGGTAGTTCTGGCTCAGGCTTTAAGTTTCCAATAGACTTTTTAGTAGAAGAGGATTGGGGAGGACAGACACACCTGTAACCATCACTGACTCACCCATACCTACTCTTTTGTAGAAAAGGTCTGCTCCTGATAGTGGAGAGTTTAAAGGCTCAATCTATAAAGATATAAAGCCACAAGATCCTTAGAATGCTATTTTCCTCCTCGAGGTGGGGTCTGCTCACAAGATGAAAAGATCTCAGGGCTGGCTCAGGAGGTAAGGATTTGATGATCAGGGTAGTTCATTCAGCCTAATTGTGCCTCAGTTTCCCAAATGTTTATTGACTGGTGGAGCCAGGGGGTGTTAGGAAAATAAGAAAGCTAGACTCTCATCTTTAGGGCATACACAGTTCCTGGCCATACTCTCATCTGGACCAACCTTGCCAGGGGTATGTGTATGTGCATAAAGGAGGAGAGGGCAAAGGAGCCAATTGATTTCTTGGACAAACGGTCTCAGCTTCCATCAGGTCTCTGCTAGTGCTGCAGATTGCTGCCTCTTGACTGGACTCTGTGGGCTGTCTCCAGGAAGAATCCGTGTTGGTTGTAAAACATTGTGTTTGCTTTTCCCACTTTCCTCTGGTCTTTTCCTGTGTTGCCTCTTTGTGCATTCTTCTCCCTCCACTCTGGACCTTCTTAAGCAAAATAATGAAAACTAAACCCAAAAGTTTAGTGAGTGGTTTTTTTTTTTTTTTTTTTTTTTTTTTTTTTTTTTTTTGCCTCTGTCCGGACACCTGTTGACAAGAAAAATCTCAAAATGTGGTCTTTGTATCATTATTTCTGTGGTTAGAAAATACAGTCTTATGTTATCATGAGCTACATTATAAACCAGCCCCAAAACTTAAAGAAGCAACCACTGATTTATCTTCTAATTCTGTGGATCAGCATACAGCCTTACTTGGGTGTCTGGTAGTTGGCTGGCTGATAATTGAGTTGATGAGGGTAGCAGCACTAGCCTGGGTTTGGATCCATGACGACAGTTGCTGGGTTCCCAAGAGCACAAAAGAAGGCAAACTCCAATGTGCAAACACTTCTTACATCTCTGCTAGCATCATAGTTGCTGTTTCCCATTGACCAAGACAAGTTGTATGGTCAAGCCCAGGGTCACAATGGAAGGAGACTACTCAGTAGCAACCCAGGGAGGCATGAACAGATTGGGACCTTTATTGTACTCAGTATATCATGGGAGAGAATGTCCATACATTCAGAGAACAATAAGCCAACAGTAAGTGTCAGCACAGAGACTGAGCTATCAAGCAGAAAAGAGCAAAGGGCAACTAGACAAGCAAAGGGCTTGCCATGGGATGCCCTGAAAGGACACTGAGGGGCCTGGTCTGTAGGATGGGAATGACAGAAAAGATTCTTTACAAAAAGACAGGCACTGAATTTCTGAGAACCTGACAACCAACAGGAGCTATTAAAGGCACCAGAAGGTATTCACATGGTCAAATCACTATTTGGAAGGGGTCACCTGGCAGTAAAATACAGAAAAGACTGATGGGGAAAATTAACATCAAGGTGATTAATTATAAGTCATTATTTATCTACCTATTTGTTCGTGTATTTGCTCACAGAATCAACAATCCTATATGGGGTGGCACACTGTACACTAACACCAGGCTAGGTCCTAAAGGGTCAAGAGCAAGTGAGATAGAGTCCTTGCCCTCAGCAGTAGGTCTGGAGTGTGGGCAAGGAGCAGTGGGAGGAATGATGGACAGATTCTTCCGCAATTGAGTCGCTCTACCAAAACCCACGGGGAAATTTAATTCCCACTGTGAGATAACACCTATTAAAGAGGTGATTATGGACAGATGAATGGGTTAATCCACTCATTAATGGATTAATAGGTTATCTAGAGGTGTTACAGAAGCCAGTTTAACCTTTGTCTCTCATATCTTCTCCCTTGTTAAATGAAGTCTTTTCTGTACCACCCCAGATGCTGCAGAGTCCCCAACAGCAATAAAAGACTTACCAGAAGTAAACTATCACCTCCTAGGCTTCAGAACAACAAGGGAATAAACCTTTAATTCTTTGTAAATTTCTAAGTCTCTGGTATTTTGTTGAAGAAACAGACAACAAACTCAGATCCAAAAGACCTCTTTTTTTTTGGTCTTTTTGAGACAAGGTCTTGCTACGCAGTTCAGGCTTGAACTCACTTTGTAGCCCAAGCTAGCCTTGAATCACAACCATTCTCCCTGCCTCAGCCTCTCAAGTGCTGGGATTACAGGCATGTGCCACCAAAAGACATTTTAAAGAGAGTACCTTGACTAATGTAAGAGGAAAAAGCAGTCGTACTGCCATCAACTTTCACGCTTAGAGCCCAGCGTTGCCCGTGCTGGTAGAGACAAGAAGCTGAGGAGGTGATTGAAGGTGAAGGGGAAGGTGGGACTAAGATGGGCATTGTCAACATGGTTGTTTTGGACTTTCAAATTGTAGATGCTCAGCAGTTAATGGAGCTAAACTCCAGCTGAGGGGCCAGGATGGAGCCAGGTTCCTCATGGTCCCATAAGCATGAAGAATATAGCTCATACCCTGGAGGAGTTGAGCCTTTGAGAAAAACCCCAGAATCACCATGGAAACACACAGACATCATCTACAAGGACATAAAGATGACTTTTCATGAAACCAGAGGATCAGGACTGTGCAACATTCTTTAATCTGCAAGGTATTGAGCAAGTTAGTATATGGCTGAAGGGGATGGAAGAAAAAAAAAAAAAAAACCTAGGGATCGAATTTGGTGGTGCAAAGGCCTTGAGAAATCCACATGAAATAGACAGCACCTTGGAGCTTAGCAGCCTGCAGAACACAAGAGGTTCTACAGGAATGAAGCAAAAACAGTGACTTTTGCCTCTTTTAATTATTTAATTGCCTAAATAATTATGTTCATTGCAGAAAATTAGAAAAGGCAGAGAAGCAAAGCCATGAACAAAGCCATCCCTAGTCCCACCATGCTGAGATAAGCCCTGCTCATATGTCTGCACTGATCTGCCCAGACATAGTAATAACCTCTTACATCCTGGGTTGGAATCCAGCCTAGAAGCCCCAAAGAAAGAAAAACAGCCAAGAAGTCAAAGATGCAGCAGGCTCCACTCTAGGCTGTGTGCTCCTTTCCTCACCTGCTCTCCCTTTCCTGTTGGAGCAGAAGACCTTGGGCCATGAGCCTTTGTAAAGCTGGATCCAGGAATCTGGGGCCGAACAGACTTTTGGGCAGATGCTCTGGAGAAAGAGGAAGAAATCTTAAACCATCCAAAAAGTTGATATCTAACACGGTAAGGCTTCCCTAGTCTCATAATCACCTGCACACGAGCTTCTACTCTAATGGCTGGAGTCTTATTTAACAAATTCACCTGCTTCCTTGCTGTTGGAGTAGCAAAGAAGGTAAGCTGTGACTGCCCAGGGTACAGTCCCTGG